ACATCGGATCAGCTAAAGTGATTTCAAGTAGAACAAGCATCCCTTTGTCCACTGTTTATCGTGTTTTGAAAAATATTGCAAATGGATATGGCATTGAGCATAAGAGAGGCGCAGGTAGGCCCAGAAAATTGACTGTCGGTGACAGGAGGCGGCTTGGTATTCTTGTTTCTAAAAACAAACGAAGGAGTTTAGTAAACGTAAGGCTGGATATGATTGAGAGAGGAACTGTAGCTGTCTGTAAGGAGACAATTAGAATTGAGCTGCATGCAATGGGTTGGCAGAAAAGTCGAGGATTTCCATCACCGATCATGAAACCTGAACAAAAGGAGCGAAGGTTGAACTGCATAGAAATTTTAACTGGGACAATGTGATTTTCTCAGGTGAAAGTTCTCCTGTGGCTGTTTCCTAATACACTGAAATTCTGGACAAAAAAAACTGAAAAACTTTTGTATCAGCGCCCAAAGTACAGTCCGAAATTTAACGTGTGGGGTGGCATATCTGTGTTAGGGGCAACGCCCCTCTGTGTATTTGAAGGGAATATGAACAGTGAGCGGTACACAGATATTCTCGAGTGACATTTACTTCCATCTGCTCACGTGTTCTATGGAAATTTTTGGATTTTCGAGCAGGACAACGACCCAAAACATCGTTCAAGGCATTCACAGGCCTGGTTTCGGACCCAAAATATGACATTATTAGATTGGCCAAGCTATAGCCCTGACCTAAATCCAATAGAAAATGTTTGGGGACTTATGAAGGAAAGTGTCAATAAGAAACATTTGGCAAATATTGCTGAAATGAAAGAAGAGGTGGTCCGATATTGGGACAGCATGGACCACGACTTTCTAACTTCTTTGATCAGTAGTATGCCCTGCCGCATGGAAGCCTGCATTGCTGCCCATGGTGACTTGACAAAATACTAACTGTTCACCTGTCTCTGAATCTGGAGTTATGTTCTGCTAATATTCATATTTAATACATGAGTAATGAGTGAAAAAAAATAAAAAAATACAATCTTAAATTCTCAATAATATCTTGTTGTGCTGTATTCTTAGCAGGTACTGTTCAGAATGGAAATTGTCAGTCAATATGCATAAAACTAAACTTGTAGTTTTTAAGAATGGAGGTGGTTTATCTCGGTTTGAAAAATGGTTTTATAATGGTAGTGTTGTTGAAGTTGTTTCAGGATATTGTTATCTCGGATTGTATTTTAAAAATAGGTTACAGTGGTCGAAAGCGTTTGAAAATATTTCTATTCAAGCCAGAAAAAAGTTGTCATTACTTCTTAGTAGCATACATTCTTTGAAACCACACTCGCCTCATCTGTATTTCAAATTTTTCGATACAAAGATAACACCAATTCTCCTCTATGGGGCTGAAATTTGGGGGCTTAATAATATGGAAGAACTGGAAAAAGTACATTTATATGCTTGCAAACGTTTTCTAAACGTTAAGTTATCAACGTCCAATAATGGAGTATTAGCCGAGTGTGGTAGATATCCTATTCAATTATCTGCTGTTTTAAAATGTATTAAATATTGGTTAAATTTTATTAACATGCCCGGATGCCGTTTGCTCGAAAATGTTACAATATGATGCGTATGTATGATGAGCAAGGCTATGAGAACTGGGTTACCAAAGTTAAAAATATCATATTTAAATTAGGTTTTGGTGATGTTTTGGTATCACACACTTACGGAGATAAAAACGTTTTTGTTGAAATGTTTTTTCAACGACTGAAAGATAATTTTCGGCAAGTTTGGCACAGTGATTTATCGGAGAGCCCTAAAATGTTTACGTATTGTAATTTTTAATTAACGATATCTTGTGAAACTTACTTAACTCATATTACTGTATCCAAATATAGATCTTGTTTATCACGATTTAGGTTAAGTTCCCATAGTGTAGAAATTGAAAGAGGCCGTTACTATAACATTCCCCGGGAACAAAGAAAATGCAAAAAGTGTAATTTAAACGTAATTGAAAATGAATATCACTTCTTACTTATCTGTCCAGCCTACATTGAATTAAGACGTAAATATATTTTGTTGCAATTCTATGTTTTCCCCAATATACTAAAATTCAATTCGTTGTTATCATCCAAAAATGAAGACATTTAATTGAATACTGCTAAATATTTGTTTTATGCATTCGAAACAAGGAAACAATTTGGTCATATTAAGATTGTATATATTATACATGCTTTCATTGTTATCATTACATTTCATGTCTGCACCGATCAAGGGTTTTTGTACTCATAGGCCCGTGGCCTCATAGTATTGGAAATAAAGATTTGATTTGATTTGAACAGAAGGCAATCTATCAGGTGCCATACGGTGCAGCTTATCCCAAATTCGTAATACTTCTGTTCCATGTTTTGACAAAGTACTAGTCCATCCCATATCGCCCCTTTCTACCAAATTAGGGGGTTTGCTATGTACTGCGCTTATACAACTAAAATCCTTAATTCCCCAAAGTGCTGCACCGTAAGACAGAATAGGTTGCACTAAGTTGTTGTACAATGTATTAAAGACGCTATAAGCCGTACCTCCCACGGGCTTAAACTTACACATCACCAATCCCAGCGCGCGATTAGCAGACTTCGCTATTTCTTTAGCAGTGTAATTTAAATCAAGATTTTCCTCAAGCCAAAGTCCCAAATATTTATAGGCGTTAGTGTAATCAACATAATCATCACAATCATAAAAACAAATTTAGATCTCATAAACCGTTTAGGACGATAAGGAATGACTTTGGTTTTCGCCAGCGGGAGCACCAATCAGCTACAACATCCAACATTCTCTGCACTGACACCTCGTCAGGAGTGATAAGTGCTATGTCATCTGCATATAATATAACAAACTTAACATAACATCATCAATTTCAGTGCCTCATTCTAAACTGTTTACCTCGTGAGCAAGGTCATTCACATATATTGAGAACAACGTCGGCGACAACCCAACTATATATAACACAACTAATCCATTAATTGCATGGCCACATTCATCGTATTGTAATCAAGGTGGACGCACGTGTTTTTATCGTCTCCCGAAATGGGGGTAGAATTAGCCATATATCGAGCAAAAATAGGATGTTTTGTCCAAACAAACACGTGTAAAAGCCGTTTACATGGTTTTGTCATCCATTGGAAAGCTTTATTTACAAGTTTACGCTTGTTATTGCTGTTTTGAACTTTGCTCATGTTGTGCATGATACGTGGAGACCAATTTCGGGCCGACAGGGGCAGCCGCATACATGCGGTCCGACGCTAAAGTTCTCACGAAAATAGAAATAAAATGGTTTGGGCAATTATTTCGTAGTTTTGAACACAACTAAAGTTATATATTCTATTACTATCGTTTATCGAAAGTTTTGTTTTATTTTTACATTTATTTATTTTGTGTGTGTATTCTTTTAGGTCAAAATGTACGCTATGGTATGCAAATGAGATGTACTCTCCATAGATTTGCGTACATAATGTATTTTATAAAACACATTATACACCATTCATTCTTTATTTCTTTTACCCTAATTGATGCACAAAATACATCATTTAGGAATTTTCACAGTACATTTTTCATGCATGTACTCTTGTTGAAAGTTTCCTTTTTTACAAGTTCATTCATAGCTTTGATTGTCAGTTGCACAGTCGCTTTGGCAACGCACGTGGATATGCATCTTCACGTCTAAACAGCGCTGCAGGTTGATTGTTGATTGTGACTTAAGTAACACGTTTCTAAATTTGTTGATAACATGCAATATGTAGACACACTTTTAGAAAATTACAGGCAGATTTTGCTTGGACGTGTAGATAAAACAAACCCACCGCTTGGCGATGCTGACTTAATCAACAGACATCTAAAATATTTAATACAAAACTTGTGGTGGGTTTCACTAAAACAATTAAATGAGTTTGTTTGTTATTACGAAAATGCGGATGAAACCCCAGCATGTGGATAATATAAATGTTTGAACTTTCAGATATATTGAACGTCATAATCACGTAGTTCTGCATAAACTAGATCTACTCTATCAGTAAGACTACACGGGGCGGTGGGGTAGCCTAATGGTTAAAGCGTTGGCTCGTGACGCCGAAAACCCGGGTTCGAGTCCCCACATGGGCACAATGTGTGAAGCCCATTTCTGGTGTCCCCCGCCGTGATGTTGCTGGAATATTGCTAAAAAGCGGCGTAAAACCAAACTCAGTCAGTCAGTCAGTAAGACTACACACATTAGTATATACAGTACCTATATCGGAGGTGACAGGTCCCGGATGAGCGTGGGTATCTCCTCAACAGAGTAGTAATATTAGAATTTATCTAAATACCCCTAACCCCAAGTGTGCAGACTAACATCACTAGGTAGAGAGTATCTATTTTACCCTTTGTTCTAGTCAGCGATACAAATTAAATATCCCAATTGTCTGCCGATATTGTAAAATATTGACCCCCATCTCATAATCTTGAGACTACAAACAATTGTGAGAAAAGGGGAACACGCAGGTGTAGTGAATAATTTGAATTATTTACCTGTGAACTCAGTTCAGTTGTTAGAGCAAGCTTTCACTAAGTGAACACAGCTCAGATACAGACTATAATCCCCCCGCCCTAATCCCCTTAATCCCCTTGAATTTCAATTTTGGGAAAGCTGGAAACACCCCGTTAAGTGTTGACTTCTATTCAGCAGTAATTAACAGTTAAGTGTTGGCGTCCATTCAGCGCTAATTAACTGGTAAGTGCTGGCTTCCATTTGTCCTTTGCCAATCACACAACAACGCCATTTAACTGTTGGCGTCCATTGTTTAGCCCGCATCTTTGTTGGCTTATTACTTTTGTTGTTCTTACAAGTACATATATATGCTCTCTGCCTCATACCATTCATTCACCTGATGACAGAGTAAGGATATACTCCGAAACGTTGTGTTCCTCACTATAAAGAAGTTGACATCCATAAGAAAACTCTCTTCCTTAGGGTTAAGACATCGCGAGACCTTCTCAATAATGACAGAGAAACGTGTTGAAGACGAACGGGTGGATCCAGGCGAAATTTCCAAAGGTTCGGCATCGCAGGTTTGTGTGCCAAAATGTACAAAAGTGATTTTCAATGTTGGCGGGACAAAATTTCAAACTCTTCGCAAGACGCTCAATGAATGCGGGCGCACAAAGTTATCGGATGAACTGTTTCTTAACGCTCGTTATGATGAGGACGCATGTGAGTTTTTCTTTGATAAGGACCCAGAGATGTTTCGATCCGTGTTGAACTACGTGAGATCGGGCCAGCTCCATCTTCCCGCTACCCTCTGTGGCCCCTTGATTAAAGATGAAATGGAGTTTTGGGGTTTGAGCGAGATTGACATCGAGCCTTGTTGCTGGGCTGTGTACAACAACTGGACATCAACGGTCAACGCTTTGGAACAGTTGGAGAATGACCGGAAACAGAACGTACAGCATGACCTTGACGAATCAGCGTCATGGTATACAAAGGTCAAGGCCAAGACATGGATCTTTCTCACAAGTCACAATTCTTCTATTCCGGCGCAGGTGAGTCATTTGGTTAATAGATTAACAAAGAGGATCAATGGACAAGAAGGAAAATGAAAAAAACCTTGAGGTAATAAGCAGCGTTCCAGGACACACACACACACACACCCACCCCCCAGCTTGACCACCCAAACAACAAACATAGGTTGCTAGGGGCTTGTCAACCCATATACTTGAGCAAGTTGCTAGGGGTAATTAGGATTATACAGCTGTGGTTAAGATTATAATTAACAAATTAAGACCTGTACTTGACATGTCATAGACGTTAATGGTAATCCAATGACAAGCTATAAAATCCTATAACATTAATACATATTGTAGACTGTCGGTTTTATATACTGATAGCTGATTTTGTGCTTTCGTATTTTGATGACACGTGGCTCATACTATCAACCCCAGGTGTGTCTGCTAGATAGCCTGGAATATGGTTACCCGTCGTCTGAAATGGTCTCTACCTACAGCAACAGGTGCCATTGATTAGACCTTGTGTGTGGAACTAACTAGTATTAGTTTCAATCAAACACCTAGAGAGTATTTTGCCACAGACACATTTGCAGCTACACATCAATAAAACCGTATCACTCATATTTGTGAGCATTATCAGGGAGGATTTCCGGGTTCAAACAGATTCCATCAACCTATGCCTTTGTAAGAATCGAGAAAATTAGTATGTTTGAATAGTGGCTTCGTTCCTAAAGGCATGAGGCGTCCAGCATGTCCACATTACGTAAATGTCACATAATAGTCCCTGGGAAGCATGGGTAGCTGGGATTAGATTTGAAACAACTAACGTCCTAGTAAAGTATATTTGTGTCAAAACTATTATTATTCTGTTTCAGATCTATGGCTGGGTGTCTCTCCTCTTCGTCATGATCGCCATCTTTTCTTTCTGCGCTGCCACACATCCAATCTTCAAAGTTCCGTCCTTGCCCAAAGGTGCTAAGAGCACTTCCGGAAATGCATCAGAAGCAGAGAGTACAGATTTACAAAGGATCGAAGAGGAAACCGAACGACATCCTGTTCTTTTCTACATCGACATCGTGTGTATAACATTCTTCACAGCCGAATATACGTTGCGTTTCATCTGCGCTCCGAAAAAGTTGAAGTTTCTACTGTCTCCGCTCTCCATCATTGACCTCTTGGCCATACTCCCAGATTATATCGAGTTCGTTGTATATGCAGCCAGTCCGGACTCCGTTGGAGAAACGACATTTATACACGTCATGCCTCTCCTACGTCTTATGCGTGCGTTCCGAATCTTTCGACTGATTCGACACGTTCCTGGCTTGTGGATAATGTTTTACACGCTGAAGGCGAGTTTCAAGGACTTGTCGCTAATGCTTGTCTTCCTACTGGTCGGAATGCTGCTGTTTTCATCCCTAATTTACTTCGCGGAAGATAAAGAGGTTTTCACCAGCATCCCGCACGGATTTTGGTGGTCGGTTGTTACCATGACGACAGTAGGATATGGGGATATGTACCCATCGAGTACCTTGGGGTATTTTGTTGGGTCGCTGACGGCAGTTTGTGGTGTTCTGCCAATTGGGTTTACGATTCCTGCTCTTGTTACCAATTTTGCTCTATATTACCAACATGCCCAGTTTGCCATTCAAAAAGAAAGACTTTTGAAAGAACAGAGGACGAACGATAAGGAGACGAGTGGTCCTAAACTGTTATCAAATAATCACAGCCATTATAGAGACTCGGATGCTTCTTGCCATTGTACAGGAAAATAGGAAATGATGCCACAGCAAGAAACAAAAAAACTTTCAATATTGCTTTAGGACTGAGCAGATGTGCATGATTTTACCCCGCTTGGAATAATTATCACGGTTGGATTACCAGAAATTGTCCTCAGAGATTCTACGCATGCCGGGAATCGAACTCGGTTTTGGCGCGAAGAGCGACAGTTTTAACGACTAGGCTACCCGACTACCGCTTCAAGACCATCATTGTTCAGTGACTGAAAATTACAACCGGTCACCCATTTGTTCATCGGTTTCAAGTCACATGTGTCATTAAAAAGTCATGTAATACCATTACCCAAGGAATAGACTCTGTGTGACTAGATCTTCGTGCTGCATTTGAAAAACAATATTGAGAGTCCATGGTGTTCAATTACATGATCATATTGTCTTCTAAATTTAGGAGGAAGTTAATATACAATTTTGCGAGAGAATGTCTTTGTGGAAATCCTTTTCGTTCGAAGAGCTACTCACATTGTGTACATATTGAATATTTCTACCACCTTACCTGCCAGTTACAGTGCAGAACATACAATGAGATATCAAAACTTCACATTTGTAAAGAGATTTCACAAAGTCAATTAAAATCTGATCAAACGAATGTTATGAACATCACTCTCTCACTCCGTCCAACGTTTGCTCAGAGTGAGTGAGTGACTTTCAGCAATATTCCAACAATATCACAGCGGGGGACACCATAAATGGGCTTCACACATTGTACCCATGCGGGTAACCATGTGGCGAGTCTTCAGGATGGCGAGCGGACACTTTAACCAGTATGCTACCCCACCGCCCTTGTTTGTGGAGAAAGTTTGCATCTGTCGCAAGTCTCTGTCGACCTGTCTTCAGCAACTCATGCATGGTACCTTACTGTATAGACCGATGCTCATGCCATCAATCATTGGGTTGTCTGGTCCAGACTCAAATATTCACAGAACGGCATAATTTGGAATATTGCTGAGCGCGACACACAAAACACCGTGCCCATTGTAGTTTGCTACTGAGACAATCAAATGTGCCATTCTTACCTGTGTAAATATTAATCATGATTTATGGAAACTAATAAATGCCTCCACATACGCCTAGCTTTAATTATATTGAAGAGACGGTTGCTGTTATGCAGATGGGCACGAATGTCTTTGAATCTGTATATCGTTATGATCCTTAGTCGTTCCAGGATCCGCTGATCACGGTCGCGAAAGCTGAGTCCGCCTATGTACATCATTATTCCTGCCATGCGTTAGATTAGAATTGGTCTTCACCAACCCATGCTTGTCGTAAAAGGCAACTAACGGGATCGGGTTGTCAGGCTCATTGACATAGCTGACACATATCGTATCCAATTGTGTAGATCGATGCTCATGCTGTTGATCACAGGAGTGTCTGGTCCAGACGCGATTATTCACAGACCGCCGCAATATAGTTGTAATAGGAATATTGCTGTGCGCCAACCTGCATTAGACGCGCCAGGGGATCAAACACCGACCTACACTGTAAAATATTACCGTTGAAATGACAGTCCATCCACTGTTATTTTTATACGGTTTGTTACCGAGGCTCCCACGTACGGTGCGTTACCGTATATAAACCACATATACGGTACTGCCCAGTTAATTAAGTGTATTGTGGGATATGATCCGGGCATTATAGTAGTATCGGCGACATTTTCTGAAACACTCCTCTCCGATGTAAGAAATGTTTTGAGCCGAATAAGGCACTGTGTGGTACTTAAAACGTGTGTATTTTGTAAGAAGTTAAGGTTTTTTGTTACTACAAAAGGTCTAGATTCATGCTGATGTACAATTACCTGTTTACATTTGCTATTTTTCTGGCTATCGCACTTGCACGTGTACGGCCAATGGGTACATATTGTCTGTGATCATTGCAACTTCAGTTGCGATAGTCCTTTGAGATATGTTACTCATTACAAATTTCATCGCAATATCCCAAATGTGTTATATCGCTGTTGTTTTCAAACTTGCGAAAAGTTGTTTGTCAAATATTCAGCCTTTAAGTCACATGTAATAAGATCACATTGCCAAAGGCCGATGGTCCATGGTGCAACTAATAGGGGGCACTTTGCAAGTCGTTTAGCTGAGTCAAAAGATTTGAATTTAAAATGTACAATTTTGGATTGTCATAATATATTTGTCAATTTCCCAAGTTTAGTTGCTCATTTGAAAAGGCATATCACAAATAATGAAAAAGTTCAGTGTCCATTTGAATCCTGTCAGAGGAAGCCACCATTTAGTAAGAAATCAACTTTTTCTTCACACCTCCAGAAAACATTTACATGATGATTGGAAACAGTTATCAAAAGAAATTAAGCTGTCTCTTAATTCTGAAAATGAAAGCACACACGGTAATGGTTTTGGAGAACCAGTTCATGCTGTTGATGTTAACCCAGATGAGGATGGAGATTCTGTTTTGCAAATAGGTGAAAATAATCAAGACCAACTGAATGAATCTTTTGATACAGAAACTATTGATGAATTTCAAGTAAATGAGAAAACAAGCTATGATTTTCTAAAAAGTCTTGCTACGTTTTACCTCAAGTTGCAAGGAAAATATTTATTGCCAGAATCAGTTATTCAAGTGTTGATCACTGAATTTCAAGAGATGCATGAGATAAGTCTTTCTATTCAGTTACAAAAGTTACATGAAAGAATGCAATCAATGAGGGTACCAGAAGACATTATCAGTGAAGTTAAGTCAGAATCACAAAGTCTGACTTGTTTACAACATGCAACAGTGGACCACTGCAAAGTGCACAAAAAAAAAGAAAAGTTTTTACAAGAATCACTTTGCGTATATTGAGCCAAAAGAAATATTTCTTGGTTATGATAGCAACAATAAGGCAAAAACCTATCATTATGTGCCTATCTGTGAAACATTAGCCATGCTTTTCAAAAACTTCGCATTTCAAATTTGGCACCTCTACTGGAAATGCATGTGGCACACTATCAGATATTTGTGATGGAAAAGGATTTAAATCTAATGATTTTTTTGCCACTGAAGGTAAACGTTTCCAGTTGATTCTTTATCAGGATGCGTTTGAAGTGGTCAATCCTCTTGGGGCAGCAAAGAAAAAACACAAGCTCATTGGTGTATATTTTACACTTGGTAACTTTGAGTCCTATAAAAGATCCAGTATTGATCATTTGCAGTTGGTCATGTTATGTAGAGAAATAGAAATATAACAGTTTGGACAAAGAAAGGTATTTGAAAAGTTGTTAGCAGACTTGAAAATACTTGAAAACACAGGAATTACTGTGAATTCTGACTCTGGAAAAAGCGTTGTTAAGGGATCACTTATTTGTATTCTTGGTGACAATCTGGGTTCTCATATGATAGGGGGTTTTCAAGAGAGCTTTTCAGCTCAATACTTTTGCAGGTACTGTCACATGACACAAGTTGATTTGAAGAGCCATAAATTTGAACAGGCTGGGCATGAAGAAAGAACAAAACAGTCTTATGATGAATGTGTTTCACACACTATTTGTAATCCTGGAATGTCATGCCATGGTATAAAACAGGTTTCAGTATTTAATTCTCTGACAAATTTTCATGTGCAGAATCCAGGTTTACCACCATGTGTTGGACATGACTTATTTGAGGGAGTTGTCTCTTATGATATGTCACTCATGATAGACTATTGTGTTGGCTTGGGCTGGTTTAGTCATGCTAAACTCAATAGACTGATACAGAGATTTCCTTATAAGGGCAATGATTGCTTAGACAGGCCCGCTGAAATTAATGCAAAATCCGACAGATTGTGTGGACATGCACCCAGAACTGGGTTTTTCTAAGGTTGTTTTCACTTATTATAGGCAGCTGTGTTTCCAACACAGGGGATTCAGTTTGGGAGTTATTCCTGACATTAAAACTCCCGGTAGAAATAATCTGTTCTCCTTGTGTGGAATTTTCACAAATTTCTTACCTCCATGTGTTAGTTTCGGAATATCTGCAAAGTAGGAAAAGAGTTTTCCCTGATGTTCCACTTAGACCTAAACATCACTTTTGAGTCATTATCCAGGGTTAATCTTATCATTTGGTCCCTCATACATTTATGGACAATGAGAATTGAGAGTAAATACTCATACTTTAAGCAATGTACAAGGAAACTTCAAAACTACAAACATTTGTCAAAAACACTCAGCCACAGACACCAGCTCTTACAAGCATTTTATTCATGTGGCTCGCTTTTTCCAAACAAATTAATTACCGAAGGAAGTGTTCCCTTTGATCCGCAGTTATACAGTGTGCCAATTCAGAATAGTGTTGCACAGCATGCATTTTATGAACACAACACTAACATGTGCATGAAACTCCAATTTAAGGGTATCTCATATGAGAAAGAAATGGTCATTGGGTTCAGGTACCCCAATGGTGATCTGAAAATAGGGAAGATTCATGTTTTACTGGAAAGGGAAGAAAATCTTTTATAATTGTAAGTTCTATTAAGTACCACACAGTGCCAGACTATGGCTTGCTCTTAGTTACAAACAATTGTTTAACTGAACAGCCATACCAGTGTGTCAAAGAATCAGAAGTAACAAGCCTCTTTCCATTAACAGTGTACACAGTTTCTGGTCAAGGTTTCATATCCTTGAAGCATTGGTAGGCATGGCATTGCTGGAATGCAACAGTTGTTGAGTTTAATTTTGCAAGTTTTGCCCAGTATCGGAGAAGAGAGGTTAAAGAGACTTTCAAAAAATAGAAGTTCTCTTATTAAGAGGTTGGAGTTGATGATATTGAAGATGTAATTTGTTATGACATCTTTATCATTTTAGCGTTATTATTACACTTTCATGTTTCTGAACAAACTATAAAGAAACGTCAGTCATCATTCTTAATCATTTAATCAAAGGTTGATGGCTGTCTCCCTAAACATCGTTCAAACCATATTCACCAGGTACTATGAACCCTGAAACCTATAACATTTATTCTAACAGATAAACTCAATGTGTGAAAATGCAACTATGAATTAAACAGTTAAAAGTCAAACCAACTTCAAATATATACCATCCAAACACGCAAACTCTCAAAATAAAGCCTGAAGGAAGTTGATATGTACCGACTACAGACTTGAAACAATTCAACACTGTCTCTCACGGATAGGTTAAACAGTAACATCTAACTCATTAATAGCTAACAGGAAATGTCACGGATTAAAGTTTTGTGGATGTTTAAGGATCCTTAGAGATCCAGTTTCTCAGTGATAAGTTTGTCAATCTGGTGATGACGCTTGGTTACTGGTTCTGGTGGTGAGATGAGGGTTATTATATCATCACGTCTGTACCAGAGGATATCATCCATCAAAGATGGCCAGAAGAAACGATTGTCTCCCCACTCTGTGCATAACCATGACTTCGATTTCATTTTCGCCTGTATCCTGGATAATTCCTGGGTACGGCAACCCATCATAAGTAACTACACACCACTTTCCATGTAGATCAGCAGTAATATCCCCAATGTCCATGAGACCCTGACCGTGTGTTCTTGTCACGAGAATTACTGTCTAAAGCTTGAACACTAAAGTTTGGATCTTGATACTGCACCTGCACTGTTAATGGGCTGTGGCATACACATTGATCAGGATAGGAACAGAAACAGCTGAGGACTCTGTAGCTTAATGTTCCCTTCTCATTGGTAGACATTTGATGGATCTTCATTGTCCCAGGTATGACTGTTATATCTGGAGGAATATATTTGTCTTCCTCCTCAATATCTGTGGGTGAGATGAAGAACATACAAACTGAGGTCTCTCCATGTAAGGTGTCAAATAGAGTTTTGGCATCTGGAATATCCTTACCATGAGCTACCAGTCTGTCAGCTGTCCTTTTCACAACAGCACCTATGCCATCAGCTGGTCCTTTGCCGTGTCCGGCAGCCAGAAAGTTCCATGTTGATTTTACAAATCCATATGCATACAGTCTGTTCACAAACATAGAGAATTTTTCTTCTGTTTATACTGAGTAGTAGGCCCATCACTTACAAAGTGGACAGAGTCAATGTGTGGGTATTTGCCCTTGATATGCATGAAGATTGGCCTCATATGAGCCCATATAGCAGGAGGATCATGTCTGAATGATGGCGAAATGGTACAGAAAGGCAGATTGTCATACTTTTCATGGGTATAGACAAGACCTGTGTGAAGAAGCTTGTTGATGAGATGCACCAAAGTGAACACTTTGAATTTCACTTGCATATTTACAGGCATAATTTCTGAGAAGTCCAAGTGAATGATGCACTCATTCATGTTTAGGTTCTTTTCAATTTGTGGATGGCAAAGGTACTGGTGCGATACAGTATAAAGATGTCTGCAAGACACTTTCAGACTCTCCTCAAAGTCATCCACTAAGGTTGCCACAGTTCCCATTACTTTTTCTTTTCTTGTGAGTTGAACATTTATGGTCTCTCGCTTGCCAGCAGTTACCTTCTCTCTTGTCTCAACCCTTCTCTGCCATTCATACCAAAGATCTGACTTCCCTCATCAAAACTGTGTTTCTGGATGTTCTTTCTGCAGCATTCATAGCATTCCCTAAACATACATTTCCTATCTTCAACTGAACAACAGATTTCTGCAGCAATCTTCATAAGATCACATGTTCCTAAAACGCCAAGCTGACACAGTTTATCTGCCTTCAATTGCAGGTTATCATGTGTTTTACAAATGCATGTTTCCCTGTCTGATGCTCTAGGTATTAGCACATAAAAATGGTCTTAGGTTGGCAAAGAGTGAATAGGATACCTTTACTTCAGGGTTTTCTGACAGGAATTTTGAGTGAAGGTTTTTGAGAATTATCATTCAGGTATCTCTTTTGACGTTTCACTTTGAGCTTGGTTATCGTGTCCTTCTTCCCAGATGTTGGCCTGCTGTTGTCATCCCGCACAAAGAATTGTAAGATGGTGGCTTTCAGGGCTCCAGCAAAAGAGTTTGCACGTTTCTTTCGTTTGTATTTTATTGGTCCTTTTGTCCTATTGTTTTTGAAACGTTTTCTTGAGAATGAAAGAGATGCAGCAGCATTTGATTTGAACCTGTATTTATTGAGAATTGCTTCAGAAAACATTTGTGAAAACAATTGCTTCTGCTTTTCAGGACTTGTACTCTGATATTTAGTCCGTATGGCCTTGATGACGACATTATGGAATAGCAAGGTCTTTCTGACCTTACTTGAAACTTTCTGGCCTTTAAGGAGTTCTTGTGTTTTCTTCTGTGGCGAGTCCTTAAGTTTTGCTGCTGCTTTTTAAGCCTGTAAATCTGTTTCCTGTATTTTTCCTTTTGTCTCCTGGTATTTGATAACTGTACTTTCAGTTTCAAAAAATCTCTGTAAGCTGCACTCCTCATTCTATGCACCTTCTTACGACCACGTGTCGTTCTTCCATCCTGATCACCTCCAGCTCTCCTACAGCTTCATCCACGGGAGATTCCAGGCGGTGTCAACAGGTTCTGTGTGAGTCTCTCCTGTTTCCGCTCTTTTCTCTCACTTTTTGTTGATTTTCCTCCATCTCCTTCTTTGATTACGTTGACTCCGTGATGAATGTTCAGAAATTGGTTTGATTATGCCATTTTCCTTCTTTTTATTTCTTAACTTTTCTTTGTTTAGATAGGCTGCTCTCTTTGCGGGGTCACCATTTATCCTTTTTCTCTATACTTCCTCGCCCGCTTTCTGCTGCATTCATAGCCATTTTCTCTGTCCTTCCTTCGTTCTTTCATAATCTGATGAATGTTTTCCTTAGTAATTTGTATTTTTTCATACAAATCTACTATTCTTTTAGCCCACGCTGCACGCACAGCACTATCTCTTGGATGGAAATGTAGGAAATAGTCAAACCTCTCTGTAGTTTCAGTCAGGTCTTTTTCTAGGACTAATAAAAGTCTTTTTTCATGATTCAGTTCTGGCATCTGAAGATCAATAAAGAAACAAATATGACCTAGAACCATATAGACTTTACAACACATCATTGTAGTAAAGACAATGTTATTATCATTATTGGTTTTATCATACATAATATGAAAATGTTTATTGAATGTGGATTTAAAACTTCCTTGTAAAGAAATGTCACTACCGTCACAACGTGTCATTACCATCACTTTTTTCATGTGACAGTAATGACCTGTGACGGTAGTGACATTTCAATATTTGAAAAGAAGCTACAGTAAAATATAAATTCAAAATTGGTGTGTCTCATGAGCACATGGCAAATGAAGATGTGGTTTTGGTGACATATACTATTATTTTTGCAAAATAGTAGTTACTTTTGTCAATAAGTAGCGTTTGGTAATGACATGGAATAAAAATACTCGCCATATATGTGCAATGCATTTAATATTTGTTGCTATTTAGACAAAAACCTTACCTTCTAAGATTGTCTTGTCATGATGGTAGCCATGTTGCTTTTCCAGAGGATGAGGAGGCTAGTGAGAATGACCTCCCTTGTGTCATGAATTTCTATTTTTAGATGCTGTGACGGTAGTGACAGGGTTTCTCAGGACATTAAGTTTTAAATTGTGAAAATGTAAATTCTTTAATCAAATTTGTTTTTCTAAACCTAAAAACCAGTCAGTGCATAAACGGGGTATACAGAAATGTCCATATATCACTTTTTAAATTCTTTAACTTGATATGTTGATTTTATGGACTTGTGAAAATGCTTGAGCTGTGCTTGGGACATGAGAAATTATACATACTTCAATCAATAATTTTCAAAATATATCATTTTAAAACTTATTCTCAATTCCTTTTTGTATATACTATACTGAAGGATGTATAAACATCTTTCATTTCAGCAAAAACATAATTTTTTTTATAAATTATTAAATTTTTACATAGTGCTTAACACCATGGACTGTGTTTGGGCCTCTATTTTGTGGAATGACCCCCGTACTGTTTGTTCATGAAATTGATCTTGTCAAAGTACTGAAACCAGTGCGGGCAAGAAAACTTCTGAAAGCATTTCAGGGAGTTCCAGGTGAGTAAGTGTTATGTAGTTCCACCAGCTCTTATGAATGCAGCTAATTAACAAAGTTAATTAAACCATGATGCATTTGAGGCACAGGTATGTTTTAGGCTAAGAAAATTGATTTGCAGCATTTTGCTGTTATCTTTATTTTAACTGATTTTTTATTTGATCGTCCTAAAAATGAAGAAAAAAGTTTTTTTTCTGAAAAATATGCGAGGCAGTGTCCAAATCCCCAAACTATTCAAGTCAGTCTGGTGATGGGCACCAGTTAATGTTGATGATTTATATAGCAGTGGACATATACATCCCTATGCTCACTACACTAAGACTAATACTGTGGTTATAGAGTAGTTAGAAGTATACATTGATACATTTTCATGCCAGACAAAATCAGTACTGTTCTTTGAAATTAAGATAATAGTAAAACACCTGAGTTGCCCTGTCTTAACCCAATAACGTGATTGCAATTTTCAGATGCATCATCATCAGAATCTCCAGCTTCCACATCAAGTATGGACACATCTGATAGTACAGGTAGTCCAGTGATGCCAAGGCCAGTAATCTACACTAACAATCAGGATCCGAACTGGCCACAGAAAAATGAACATTCCATGGAACAAAGTACCTGATTTTACATTTTGCTTGCACAGCAATAAAAGACTGGAGCCCGATTCACGAAACTCGTTCGAATGGTTGCCGATGAGATCAGACAAATCACGAAAATGCCTACAAGAGGCAGTTTGAGATCATTGCTAAAAAGGATGGTGGCATTGTACCCACAGTCACTCGAAGATCGAATGGACGGATTTGTTGTTGGTTCAGGGTATGACTCATTGGTCTACCAGCTGGTTAACCGAAATGAAAACCTCAACAGAGGAGTGGGCAAGTTGTTTCGTAAGCGGAAGTGTTCGGATGTCATGGGTGATGGCGAGAAAACTCAAAAGCCAACTGTTAGTCCTGCAACTAAGAAAAGGGACTCTTATGGATGTGTTAACTGGGGTCCAGATATTGATGGAGACAGCTTTGAACTTGAAAAGAGCAACCAGATGCTTAAAGAAATGCACGATGCACCGCCTAGTGACTGGAACAATGAGAATATTATGAAACTGATGAATGACACTTACAGTCTACAAAGACAATCCATCAATGAAGGTGAAAGTATTGGAAAGATTGTAGAAGACTGGCCCTTTCTTTCAGAATCAGTTGGAATCCTATGTCACTTTAAGACTCTTGTGGGGATTGACTGTGAAGCAGCCATCAGAGAAGGTTGTGAGTCAAAAGGCGTACGACTTCAGCGTTACTTTTCCAGCGAAATGAGGGGAGAACTTGATCCGTTGTTTCGTGCTGCACAAAAAGAGTCAGAAATGGACAATGTCAAGGCATGGATACCAGCCAATCTGCTCTGTATTATGAAATGTGTTAATGAGAAGCCAGACGCACTCTTTCTTCTTGTTGATGTAAGTTATTATCCTGCATGGTCTTAGATTTTATGTAAATTTCTCAAAATAAATGTAACATGCCTCCATACGCAGCCCAGGGTACATAACTTTTTAATGGCAAAGCCTGTATTTAATTTAAACATATTGATTTCACTATATTTAAGGCATTGTGACTAAAATAGAATTGATAGATTTTTGCTCTTGAACTGCTAAGGTAGTTGTTCGCCAATGCTAAAGTGTAAACATTACAACAGTTTTAGTGGTAAGATAACTTCGAAAATGTACAGCCTTCTCCTTTAGGTTGTTTGTAATTATTATAATATACTCCTAAACTAAAAGAATACAAAGAGCAGTATCAGTATACATGTTTTTCTATACATGTTTACTTGAATGTTTGTATATGATACATAAACTTAGTGTAGTATGATAAGGAAATTATGTTTTCAGGAAACTGCATCAGTGGCTGACATTGAACGCACCAATACAGAAAGTTGGCCCCGCCTGGTACTACTAGGTAAGTAAATACATCACACAATATTGTTACTTTTATGTTGGAAATTTGGTTCAAATTTCTTGTTATCTCCTTTATATCATTTCAGAACCAAATTCTTTTAATATAAATGTACATACTTTAAAACTCTATATGAGTGTATGATACTTGAGATAAAATTATTGGTTTTTTTCTGCATCAAAGAAACAAGTTACTATCAAATCAGCAATGAAACTGAAATAAAATATATTGGTATAAGCAATCCTATTTTCATTTTATTGATGAAACCTTTGTGTCTTAGATTGATTTGTCTCTTAACTAATTCCTGCTTATCAAATTATGTTTGCAGGAGAAACACACCTATCTGCCAAACAGTATATGATCATTGTTGATCACAAAGTCATTGTGAAGACAATCACAAGCTTCCTAAAGGCAGTTGCTGTCCTCTTTGCAACATTTTATGTTTTTAACATACAGTACCAAGCTGGTGCAGCAGCTACTCTGGAGTTCATCCAAAGGTTTGTTCACTTTTATTAACAATGTAGACAAAATACTTAATAAATATATTTCAAAGAAAAGTTTTAAAAGTATTTCATCACAATCATGCAACGAAAAAATGTTTTATTGAGCTTTAATACATCTAATATACAATAGGATATTGTCATTACCAAGGAAACGATTTGGACTTGCATTTCATGTTTCATAACTCAAGCAGATTAAATAGTTACAACCTGAAGTTGTCATTTTGCTATCTTCCCAGTATTTTACTGTTGAAGGTGTTTCCTCAGAATCAACCCTGACAAAGGCTGTAAAGCAGACAGGAAAAGGAAGACAACTGGTGTTAATCCCAAGGTTCTTCGCATGATCAACAGTATTGCTGGATTTGAATGGACACCCATTAACGACGCTTGATCTATCATTGTACAAGATTTTTAATGTCTGTGATATTCTATTTTTAGTAAGAATGCATTTCATTATTAATCTTTCAGTGAACATGGTGAACTGTTTTATCTTGCCTTATCTTTTATGTTACGTTAAGTAAACATTTAACTGTTCAACTTGTTTTCAGGTTTGTGAAATTACTAGCCAGCAAAAATGGTGTTGTATCTGCTGAAAATAATTAAAGTGCTTATTTTAAGAAAAAATTCTTCCTTTGTCTTTTGTTAATGTTGAAAGTGTGTGTTTAATTTTGGTTTTAGAAGGTAAGTTACAGGACTTCAGTGTAATATGTCGTGTGTTATGATACAACAGTGAAATTCATGGCATCTTCTTGCTTCAAGCAGATTACTGTATGTACTGTAACTACGGTTTAATGCCTGGCAGCTGGTTGCCAACAAATTACCGTACCTACGTGGAAAGCCTGTATCTACAGTGCGGTGCTGTACTTACGGTACAACCATTTTTACTACGGTAATCTGCTGGCAACCAGCTGCCAGGCATTATACCGTAACAAAATCACGGTAATTTTTTACAGTGTACTTTTCCTATGGCAGACACTTTATCCGCTAAGCCTCCACTTTATCCGGTGGAGGTCCCTTAAGGAGATAGTATTCATGCTGTTATTTTGTGATCAAGATGATTTCACCGAGGATGTCAGAACATTGTTGGCCACAGGCATTTATGGACAGATCAGGAATCACAATGAGAATTTCGAACCATCGATTAACGGACCCTTGCAGTGAGTGCACGTGATTATATATTAGCTTCTCTTACGGAAATGATAATATGACTCTACATCGATTTAGGTAATATAATCTATGACTGGGACAAATATGAAGTGTAAACCCTAATCAGTTATTACACCAGCCGAACCGTAACCCTTATGTCAGATTGTTGACTCTATATATACGGACACAGATCATGTTAAGATCACTGCTTAATGAATTTTACGTAATTACATGCAATCACCATAGAAACCAGTAATATAGTCCAAGCTTTCTGTTGCTTAACCAAAAAAGGCGACAAATTTACATGTCAATGCGTTGTGATCGTACCAGGTTGGATGAGTGAGTGAGTTGGGGTTTACGGAGCTTTTAGCAATATTCCAGCAATATCACGGCGAGGGACACCAGAAATGGGCTTCACACATTGTTCCCACATGGGGAATCAAAACCTGGCCTTCGGCGTGACGAGCGGACGTCACTAGGTTACCACACCACCCTCAACGTTAGAATAGGATGGGATATTTCTATAACGCACATGTCCATGTCCACACAACTAGTACATGCTCAAGGCGCTGTTATTTTTTCCTTCGATCATTGGATGTCAATCTAAACGGAACATCGTATTATCAGTCCCAACTCCCTGGTGAACATACAACTCTTACAGCCACCATTACTGCAGGTTGCTGTACCCGCAACTAGGTGTTTGTACGTATTCATCAAGCCACCATCTGGTCATTTCGTGTTTGTTTTGTTAAGTGCAAAGGGCTGTGTACTGTGCACTAGGTGTTGTAACAACAGTCAAATAGTCTGCATACCAGGCTTATACACCCGGTCACATGTGGGCTCGATCCCGGTACCTCAAGCTAGCTGGATCACTGGCCTGGCGCCATAGACAGCTGTTCCACCATGCCCCCATACGCCAGATGAAGCTTATATATGATGCTATTCTGTTTTTCTCGATTATCACCGACTGCCATACACCAGATTTAATTGAGCGGCATTACACAAAATCTGCTTCAGTTGTCGTCTGTGATTACGCTTACGTCAACACTGGGCACGGCCATGGATATGCTGAAGCACCCGTAAAATAATATGAACTCATCCTTTGTGAAACAGAAGACGGGTTTCAGTTCTACTACAAAATAAGTGAGCAAATTTTGTTTTACTTACACCTCCCCTTAATTTGAGGTACTGTCATAGAAAAATGGTTTGACAAAACACCTTCGTAAAAGATAACTTTCACATGGATAATGTTGAGAAACATTTGAGTGAGTGAGTGTTGCTTTTAGCAACATTCCAGCAATATCACGGCGGGGGACACCAGAAATGGGCTGTACACATTGTACCTATGTGGGGAATCGAACCCGGGTCTTCGGCGTGACGAGCGGACGCATTAACGACGCGGACTGCCCCATTAACGACGGGAAGAAAAGTTCGTAAGGCTGACCCAAGTGAATGTTGTTTTATGAACTTGTAGCTGTGTAGGCTATCCCTAGGAAATCGAAGAATATTAAGTGAGAGGCGAAACATGGTCAGGTCACGGGAAGAAAAGTTCGTAAGTTTTAATGAAATCAGTGACCCAAGTGAATGTTGTTTTATGATTACTTGTAGCATGTGTAGGCTATCGAAGAAGCAAGTGGAGAGTAGAATAACACACAATGATACCCAGCAGACGCAGACTGCTTGCAGAGGGAGGGAGCCAGTGACCTGTAACAGCGGCAGTGTTGGGTCATAAAGGTCAACGTTCGTCAATGTAGGTCAGCTATGCACGTGACAGGTATGAAGAGGTGTCACGGGTCGTAACGGGACCACCTATGGTTAGAACTCAACAACTGTTAAAGCCCCGTTCCCTCGGACACAAGCACACACAATCATGCACACTCATTGAAGAAAATATAGAATGAAGACAAAAGTGTTATGTTTTGCTGTCTTTCACATTCCAAATTAAGCAATGCATTTCTAATAGCTTTAAGCATATATATTTCTATTTTCATGATAATTTTATGTGAAATGAGTGTTTCATGTTACACTATAAGTCTTTGGAATTAGTCAGTGCTGTCATTGTTAAAAGAAGTTATATTTCTTTGAGCATATCTGGCTGGATACTATTATTATCTGTAAATATAATAACAGAATTAAACTTCATCAAGTTCCCTCCATTCTTCCACAGAGGAGTCATCAGTGTCCAGATGAATGACAACTGGATTAACTGTTTCCTCCTTCAAGCCATCTTTGAGCCAGTGCTCTTTCTCCACCTTCTTGACATGTTCAACACATGCGTGCCAGCGTGCAATGTCAATGTCACATATAGCAGTGTTGACAATGTGCTTGACATCATTCAACTTGAATGATTGATTTTTCCGGGCCACTGTACTTTTAAGGTCTCTCCAGATAAGTTCGATTGGGTTGAGATCACAGTGGTACGGTGGTAATCTCAAGACCGTATGGGCGTGTTGGCGTAGCATGTTGTCCATGTTATATGTGGGTGGAGGTTTGTTAGGTTTAATCAAAGAGTACAACTGTGGTTTAGTGGCCTTAATTGAAAATTGTATATTGTTATTTGTTAGCCATTGCTGCATATCTGAATTCTTTGTATTGGAAGTTGGGCACCTATTGTTTGGATCTCGAACACTGTGATAGGGAGCATTGTCCATGACAGCAAGACTTTTGTAAGGCAGAGCTGGCAACAATTGTTCCTCAACATACAGTGTGAAAACCGTTGAG